ATAGATATTACTTGTATTTCATCAAAATGCATTTCCGCCACAAAAGTGGATATTCGATCTTACGAATATCGTATATCGGAGGATCACATTTCCTCTACGTTTTGAAGGGATGCACCTGGTGACGTGCTTAGCACGGCACCTGTGACACGACCAGAGAGAGGGAGAGAGAGAAAGAAAGAAAATGGATCCTGTATTCCTGAACGATATAGTAGAAAACGCAGAAAAGGGGTGACAAGGGAATTAAAAGCTTCCTAAACGAATAGCTCATTATGTTCAGTTCATGGCAGTAGCCTATCTCGTACATATAAATTAAGGTGAAGTGAAACGCTTGTTATAATAAATTTTAAATTTTGCCTGTAACAATTTTCAAAGGATTCTCATCCTTTTTTTAATTCTCTTACTCAATACACAAGACGAGTAAATCGCCTCTAGAAATGAGAAAAAAAACGGTTCATCTTGTTCCATGTAACATACATTACCTATATTTACTCCTAAAGCTCTGACACATGCTAACACCCTCTTAAGGTGAAGTGAAACCCCCTTCAAATCAGTCGATTCGAATACACAACACTTTTTTTAAGGGTATTAGACCAAACTGTCCGAAACTTTGACACATCACTCCTGATCATCTAAGCGTTGTCCTGACACATTCAAAATTTGGANAAAATGTTGTATTCGAATCGACTGATTTGAAGGGGGTTTCACTTCACCTTAAGAGGGTGTTAGCATGAGTCAGAGCTTTAGGAGTAAATATAGGTAATGTACGTTACATGGAACAAGATGAACCGTTTTTTTTCTCATTTCTAGAGGCGATTTACTCGTCTTGTGTATTGAGTAAGAGAATTTAAAAAAGGATGAGAATCCTTTGAAAATTGTTACAGGTAAAACTTAAAATTTATTATAACAAGCGTCTCTAAGGATTGAACGGTGGATGCGGCGTGTCTCCAAGAAGTCTGTCTATCAAATGTCCCGATTCCTTGTCCCTTCTGTAGGAAAATTTTTAAAGGAGAGTCCCTTGAGTGTTAATATCGGTACAACTCAAACTTTATTATAACAAAATATGTGGATGTTCAGCGAAGGGATCAGCGTTGGATGCGACGTGTCTCCATGAGCTCCGTTTTCCGAATGCCCCGATTCCTCGTCCCTTCGAGCTCTCGTCCTCCGTCGCCTTTCAAGGGCCGGGTCATCCTGGCACTCGCGTTGTTTACATCTTCTCAAGAGATGGATGGGGTGACGTGGTCCAGAGGGAAAAGGAATGCGTCTTCACTTCAAGCTCTGGTCCTCCGTCGCTTCTCAAGGGCTAGGTCATTCTAGCTCTCGCATTGTTTAGGTTTTCTCAAGAGCTGGATGGGGTGACGTGGTCCAGAGAAAAAGGAATGCGCCTTCAATATGTAGGAGGCGAAATTACCGAGGCGAATCTACTATTAAGAAGTCTATATTTTCGTAGATTCACAGATCATTAATTGTTAAAAATTATACATGTAAGCCTCAAGGAGACGTATAAGAAATTGTTCCAAATGTTCCCTTCTATGATTCTCGACCAAGTGCCGTTTCTGTCCAGTGTTCATAGGGACCGTCTTCGTCTAGTCGTATCAGTTGTTTAGGCGTATTCTAAACAATAATCACGTATTCTCCACTGTGATTCCTGGATTAAGCCCGCGCATGGACCTCCGATCATTTTGCCTTTGTCCCTTTGAATTATTTCCTTCAAATAGTAATTAGCTTTTCGTATCTGGCTTCGTCCGGTTTCATTTTTTTATCCACTCCATAAAACTTGCTCCCTGCATCATTTCACTATTTCCTTTATTATTCAGCCATCTTTTGTAATGCCGAAATGACGTATATGAAGGAAATATTTCGAAGAGGCAAGGCAAATTATCGGAGGTCCATGGGCGGACCTATTCCCAGAGTCATGGGCGAGGAAAGGCGAGCATTATTTAGAAGATATGATCATTGCCTAATCAATTGATACGGCTAGACCAAGACGGTCCCTCCGAACAGTGGACGGAACGGCACATAGTCGAGAATCGCAGAACGGAACGCTTGAATCCATTCTACATACGTCTTCTTTAACAATAAGTCAAATAACTATACCTGTGAATCTACGGAAAATATAGACTTGTCAATAGTAGATTCGCCTTCGGTAAATTCACCTCCTACACATACCGGCATATTTGTCTTTTAATAAGCCATCATCCCAGGCTGCGAGATTTACGAAATATAGGGTAATTGTCAATAGTGAAGGAAATATTTTGAANACGTGGTCGTATAATATCTGCAAATCACATCATATCCGAATAATAATTAACATATTCACATAATAAGTACGTTGTCATTAACTTACCTGAACCGCTATCCGTTGACATAGTGGTAAAATATATAAATTATTTTTCCGCCAATAATTAGTTTGGAAGAGCCCAACTGAATGAATGCACTTTCAAAATAGAACTAAATGAATTCCACATATTGTTAGGTAGACCGGAAAGTATTGTCGTTTCTGTTATCGTTTAATTGTCATTTGTCGGCTTATCGTGTAATTCAAAAACGCACCAATGAGAGCCACGTGCCATTTTAAGGTTATGTTTACATAATTTCTTTAAATTTTTTACTTAGACCACTTTCATAATCAACACTAAATGATTTCCATATAATGTTGAAATTACAACCACTCTCTAATGGTTCATTTTTTACAATATCGTAAAAATTACATTGAATTAATTTAGTTTAAAATAATGTGGGATGAAATAACTGATAAACTAATTTTTTTTTTATTTTGACTTAGACCACTTAATAATAATTATGGGCTCATATGATCTAAGATCTCACGAACTAACTGCTTCATTGTAATCGCGTGTTTAATTTGAAATGATTTATCGTCTTTTGTGAACACCAAGTCGGTTCATTGTGTCTATAAGCGTTCTCTTATTTAATTGATCCCACGTCCATGGTGAAATTCCGCTTTATAAACGTGATCAACACTTGGCGACTGGTACTCACATTGAAACCAACAGCGTCCAACTTGATTCTTAAACTTTTTTTAAACACCATAATAGTACACACTTGCACGTCGCCCATAAGTATGAATTTTTACATCGAACGTCTTAGGGTATACGTTTCAGCGCTCATTCTGATACCGTAATCAAATATAATTGATTTACAATCATTCTCAGAAAGTACATGGTTTGTTTAAATGCACGCACGGCCATGACGTAATATCATGATGGCCGACCTATATGTTGCAAGCATCGTAGAGAAGTACTTCAGTTAATCGTCGAACGTAGCGCAAGCGAGTACGAAGCCCGCCAAGTGTCCAGCTTATTAAACGTCCAAATAGTTCGGTTAATTTCACTAAATCAATTAAATACGCATCAACGCGTAGGAGGCAATATTAGTTTATTAAAGATGATCGTTTGTTTGACTTTATTTGGAACATATCAATAAACGAAAACATTTTTTGATATGTTCCACTCGACCAAACGGTCGAGTGAACCAAATTTTAGTTCATTTAAGGTGAAGTGAAACCCCCTTCTAATCAGTCGACTCGAACAAGACACTTCTTTTAAGGTGAAGTGAAACACGTCGAGGAACTTGATCGACGTCGATAGAGAAGATTTTTCTAAATGCCTACGTTGCCGACGTTCGTTTTTATATCGACAGCTGGGTGCAATTATATTGGGTATTGTACCAAATGGCATATTCCACCTGTCGTTTTCGTACAATAATTATAAAGAAATCGGAGTAATACTCCAGAAATCCTCTGGATTCATGCCTTCTGGGTAGAGTTCGAAAATTCTCGGTAACATTAAATTGGAGAAGGTAACTGTGAAACATACCGTAAGTTACCGGGAACATTGAGAATTTAAGAGAACGTTAATTTTGTTATTTATACTTTAGGTTTCTTCGTTTAAATAACTTTTTTTTTTTCAATCAACTTTAAAGTTCAAGCTAAAGAGTAATAATTACTATTAGAAAATATTGATTATAGGGTCGTATTTAACTCCAGCTAAAAATATTCACGTATGTACAACTTCACGGAAAATTCCATGAGATTTGATCAAACGAACTGATATTTCATTCTGCGACGAAGCGAATGGGAGGTTTTGATTGGCTACGGAGAACGTACAACGGAAATTCCCCTCTACGATGTTTCTCTATAGCTAATTGAAACCTCTCGTTCGCTCTGTGGAGAAATGCAAATTCTCAAAATTTCTCGATAAAAAAGGCTTTGGAGAAATTACCGATAAATTACCGGGAACTTCTCTTCGTTTCTGACGTAACTTACTGGATTTAGAACTCTACTTCTGGGGCCCCAATTGACAGCGGAGGGACCCCCTGCGCTATCTGTGATTTCCAGGTCAATTAAATCTTCACTCCGAGACGTCGTATTACCATCGTTTTGGCATACAAGCGCATACAACACTTTTTTTGCCTTTATCCCGTTCAAATGCGAGTTTATCGATTACCAGAGTGTTCTAAATTGTCGTAAAATTGTCCTGACCCTTTCGATTCTGATATCAGAGCCTTCGATAATTGTATATTGATCGAAATATCAGAGCTTGACGCCATTTTGGTTCTAATCTAGGCTGAGTAAAAAAATTGTTTGAAAAATCCAAATTTTCAATGTGTCAGGACAATTCTTAGATGATCAGGAGTGACGTGTCAAAATTTCGGACGGTTTGGTCTAATACCCTTAAAAAAAAGTGTTGTATTCAAATTGACTGATTTGAAGGGTGTTTCACTTCACCTTAATATTGTTTACGCGTAATCGCGTATCGATGACTTGTCTTCTCTCATTCAAATAGTCCCGCGTCTGTCTTTAAACCTAGGCACTCAACATGGCCGTCCGTCTATTTTGCGCACGCGCAGCACGGGCGATCTGCAACCGTTGCGCGGCTCCTGAAGTGATAGCAAAAACGCGTCGTGTCGAAACTTGGTAAATTCCGTGTCTAGCTTCCCTTTTACCGTTCCAATATTTTTCCAAACGTAATCGTTTACAATAATTCGAAAACACAAGGTACACGCCAATCGAAATCTCCCGGTTGAGGAGAAAACGATTTAATCTAAGCGGCCAACACAGCTGCGTTCTTTTATTTGAACGATCGCGCGTCCGTGACGTAACAAGATGGCCGCCGTGCCCGCCCAGCCGCGTTGCGCACGACAGTCAGCGCGCCCGGTAAATCGTCGTCTGGCGACTCGCGCGTCAACGTCGCCACCGTTCCGTGCCCGGACTCGCGAAGCGTTGCCGCAGTTCTCTACTTTGCCGTGAAAGTTGGTGCCTGAAATTTTTCGGATTTTCCGCAAGGTGACACGACGTTCAACGGCGCTGCGACCTCGGAAGGCGGTGACGGGTGCCACCGCGAATCGCAACGGTGAAGTCATCGGGTAGTTTCGCGTGGGCGGGTCACGCGATCGCTGCGCGCCTTCGTTTGCGCACGTGCGACGGGAGACTACCACGTGACAGTAAATTTGCTTCGTGCACTTTACAACGGTGTAGGAAACGACACAGTCCCGACATCGCGCGTTCTCGCCTCGGAGCGCAGGAGGACCACGTGCATGACGTGTCTCTGCTCGACCGATCAAATAGCTCGAAATAACCTGCCGTCGACAGTTATCGGGACCGTTCATCCTCCGCTCTTCCCCGACGTTAATTACCCCCTAGTTGACGCCTTTTCGAAAAACCTCTGCATTTCATGTTTCCCAACGAGCTCAAACGTAGACCTCGAAGTCCTGGAAACACCTCTGGACCATTTTCAAAAGCTTAAACGGTATTTATCCTCGAGTTGAATGTTTACCTCGACATCTCGCTGGCGCTCTTTCTACAAACGCAACACGTGTAGCTTATTTCCGACTTTACTCAATGCCAACGGTCTCGATCCACGGCGTTTCAGAATTTTATTGGCGATGTGGAAGGTCATTCCGATGAATGTTTTCCTCGTTGGCTTCATTAATAATATATTATGATCGAGCGGTACTACCGACTAGTTTCCTTTATCTATCTTTACCATGTGACTTCTGTATATCCTATTATTCGTTTCCTTTCCAGGCACCAGCGCACGTTGAGTCGGTGCCTCCCCTCGGATCGTTTTTTCGAATAACCGATTCTTGGACGCTTCTTCTCGAATTGGTATTTTAAATCATTTTTTATACGTTATGTCGAAAGGAAAACCAGCTATAGGCGAGCTTCGGAAAACGCTATCGCTTCGGTTACCTGTTTCTCCTCGTTCGGAAACTGCTTTCCCGGTTTTATATTAATATAACTGGATCAGTTGACGCCCGTTAAACGAGTCGCTGGTTCCTTGGAGCGCCACCAGGGGCAATGACGTCATCGCTTCGGAGTTGACATCCACGTGCGATCTCTTCGCCGATTTACATGACGGAACGTTCGAAGAGTTTCCTTCAGGGCAGTTTGAGAATTCAAGATGGACCTGGATCTCTCGCTCGTGGAATTAAATTGGGAACCAGAGGAGTACGAGCCGCAGAATGTGCACATCGTCGAAAAGGAATTCCGCGATTACGTTGTGTATTATATCGCCCAAAGAAATTCTGGGGTACCTCCACTCTCTCCCTTTACTGGTACGGCATTTGTCAAAATATTTATGTAATGTTAGCACTCGATGGTCGGATTTTCAAGATGGAGGGTATAAAATAACAATTGCTGAGTGCTATTGTAATGGCTCATGAAACGGTAGATACAAAAGACTTATATGGAAAATTTTGTAAATGTACGACTACTACATGTATCACATTTTTTATTTTAACGGAAACTACTAAAAAGATCCATTACATTTCCAATGTATAGGTATGAGCATTGACGTATATACGACTGGTAGCAGGTAATACGACGTAACTTTTATAAATAATACGTAACTTTTAAATATAACGTTTATCCATGCGTTGAGAATACGTGACAAAATTGTACATTTAAATATCGATCGTTGGAATCCTAAGTAAAATTAAGGGCATTTTCCGTCGTCTTGGTTCTGGTGACTAATGGAATTATTTTCAATCAAAATTCGGGGCCCGTAGTATTATAACATCTGGAAAAATTATCAGAATGCCGAAATTTCTTTCATTTTTATCGTTGACACTGATTCAAAAGAAGTCTTTGGATCATTCCATGAAACTACTCGATACATCTTATCGTCTCTTTATCGAAAAAACTGCTTATAAAGACCAAGATATCTAAATTAAGTCGATAAGCTTTTTAAGAGGATAACGATAATATACCATCGTTACACAATGAGCTCTTCCTTTGATAAACGTACAATTAAATTAATTAAAAACAATTCATTAAAACCTACCGAGTGAACGGTGACGGCACTTCCTTTGAAGGACGCCGACTCCTTTTATCATTTTTTACGATAAAAATACGATATCGTAAAATGATAATCCACATTAAGCTCCGAAAACTTCGTAGATTTATATATAATTTTTAGATTTATTTTCTAATTCATTATGTAAAAACTCGAAAAGCAGTTTTACATGGGTCCTATGTACGCAAATGTTAACCCCCAGTCATTGATAGTGTAATAACTCATACTTAACCGTATCTGTGGAACATGTTTCCGGGTGCTGGTGGTATTAATTTACGACTGCAGCTTTTGCCTTATTGGACCGTGACTAAAATCCAACTGGATCCGACGTACTCGCATCGTATTTATGCGAATATTATTACATTTGCTCCCATCGTTCCGCGTCGGCTAACAAAATACGTGCACTCTCGCAAATGAAAGAGACACCAATGACCGCGTTGAATTTGATGACAACATTTTATGCCCGTACGTAGCCTGTGCTTTTTCACTCTTGGAAATTTCAGCGAAATATCGGTTGTATCATATTCCGGATGGAATTTTGTCCGGCAAAACTATACGTGCAATAAATACGTTCATTTCGCATTCCTCGTCTGTTCCCTACCATCGACAAATATGACATTAGAATTTAATGGGAAGATGGTATAATTACTTTTCCTGAAAAAGTCAAGAATGAATTTATCGGGTTTCAGGTCGACTCGACTTACCGTCGCTTTATTGTTAACTGAAATTGGCGATGCTATGAACAAGTTTGACTTACTCGATGCCCAGAATTTTCTTCACCTTAATCACGTGAAGAACTCCCTTGAAGAAAAACTTCAAACGCACTTCTAATAATAGTCTTGAAATATAATAATTTCAAGTAATAATTACATAATTTAAAGCAAAAAAAAATTGGTACGATCCACCACAATAATGGCTGGTTCATTTCTCTTATGGCTTATAATGTAAGGATTCCTCGTTAACAAATGTCTATTTTCATTTTAATATTACAGATGTAAAGTGTGCACCTGTTATTTCTGAAAGCATATTAATCTTACCCCAGATTAGCAATCTTTGGTGTTTTTCATTTATCCAATTAAATACGAAAATGTCATCGAGAACACCTTGTCCAACAGTAAAGATAATGGCCACACTTAGAAAGGACGATGTTACGATGTACTTCTTGTTTTTTAATAATATAAATGTGTTTTTATTTTATTTTCAGACTCCGACTCCGAGAGCAAAGATGGATCTACGACCCAAGAAAAGAAACACGGTCGTGTCTCTCAACCCATCGACACCATTGCCTACACGGTAAGAGTTTACAGTATTTTTTTTCTTCTGCTATTAACGATTAAGTTTTCAAAAGTATTTTAAGTATTATTAACACGATCAATGCCAATCTTACAAGATAACTCTATTGTTATGTGGTTGCCAGTTACCAATGACCCCCACGGTATTTGTCGTGTTAAGGTGAAGTGAAACACCCTTCAAATCAGTCGATTCGAATACAACACTTTTTTTTAAGGGTATTAGACCAAACCGTCCGAAACTTTGACACATCACTCCTGATCATCTAAGAATTGTCCTGACACATTCAAAATTTGGATTTTTCAAAACAATTTTTTTTACTCAGCCTAGACCAGAACCAAAATGGCGTCGAGCTCTGATATTTCGATCGATATACAATTATCGAAGGCTCTGATATGAGAATCGAAAGAGTCAGGACAATTTTACGACAATTTAGAACACTCTGGTAATCGATAAACTCGCATTTGAACGGGATAAAGGCAAAAAAAGTGTAGTATGCGCTTGTATGCCAAAACGATGGTAATACGACGTCTCGGAGTGAATATTTAATTGACCTGGAAATCACAGATGGCGCAGGGGGTCCCTCTGCTGTTAATTGGGGCCCCAGAAGGCATGGATCCAGAGGATTTCTGGAGTTTTACTTTGATTTCTTTATAATTATTGTACGAAAACGACAGGTGGAATATGCCATTTGGTACAATACCCAATATAATTGGACCCAGCTGTTGATATAAAAATGAACGTCGGCAACGTAGGCATTTAGAAAAATCTTCTCTATCGACGTCGATCAAGTTCCTCGACGTGTTTCACTTCACCTTAACAAAGCTTAAACAAGAACAGTGGCTGAAGGAAGGGGCGAATGAACAATTGCGTGATGGATCAAGCGATCCATCACACAATTCTCACCTCAAGAATCTTCATTACTCTTCCTGATTTATTCGAGTTTATAAATTGTGCATAGTATTTGCAAGGACCCTGTGAGACGTTGTTGCAAGGAAAATGAACTGGGAAACGCGAATGTTTGATGTTTTGGTATCTAGTACAAAGATTTATTCGTAGCAAAATGAAATAGTAACCGCGATTCATGTGTACCGTGATATTCAATGTAGGTTTTATGTTAAACGCGCGAGGTCAATCTGTCTTTGCATCGTGGAGATCACTAAATATTAGATATACCTATAAACTGCATGTTTTGACAAAAAAAAATGGAGAAAATGTTTCCCGTAAAACGTATCTAGAAATTCCACATGATTTACCACCATGAACGGTTTCTGATGATAATCGATCTCTGCTATACATTTTTCATACCGGGCGTAATTGATACAGACATCGATCATTGGTCGCATTCGAATCCAAGAGATATCGCCAAGGTTGGCGAATGATTTGTCACTGTCACATCACGTTCGGGTTCTCCTCTTTTTTTTTATATTACCAGAATATCGCGGAATCAAGATCGACATTATTGATTTCAAATGGCCTACTTAAATTGAAACTCGGTGAACTCGATGAACAAGCAAGGCATAGTCATGATCATTAGTATAGAATTTAGCTTATTGGTTAATGGATAATGGATAGTACGTGATTTTATGTTAAGAGAGGCATCAAATTGTTTAGTTTGCGTATCAGTGAATGACATCCTTCTTATGTTGATCTGCAAAATTGCCTAATTATGATATACGTGTACTAATCTGTTATCAGTGCTTCGCGCTGATGCGAGAAGAATCCATTACCCGAACATCACGTTCTTCGCTACTGCAATTTCAGATATACGAGTATCTTTTGAACCATCTAACAACCCCTTTTTTCACAATTTCAAAAAGTGAAAATCGGAATTTTATCTTACATGCGTCTAATAGATTTCAACAGATTATTTCGGTCAACTTTCATGCTTCTAGATCTAACCATTTTCTAGAAGCCAATATTCCAATCCCGTTTTACTCCATTAGGGATCGAATTACAAAAAAATCTCTTCTTACAAGGAAACATTCCCAAGTGTCCGCCCCCGATCTTATTGATTTCCATATATGTTGAAGAACACAAAAATCTGAGAGACACGTGTTTTTTTATATCTGCAATGGTCCGCATTTAAGGGGTGAAACAACCCCCCAAAGTTTGGCAAAAATTCGATTTGTATAATAATTTTCATAGAAGCAATGGAGGGATTTCGACGAAACTTGGTATAAATGTATTCTGTATAAGGACGGTGAAAACACAATATTGTCCAGCAATGCTACAACCCCCCAAGGGGGCGAACTACCCTTCAGGCGACATTTTTTTGTAATATCTATTAAACAAGCACTCCTACTTAAGTTCCACTTACGCGATGTGATTGNTCCCTCCGAACAGTGGACGGAACGGCACTTGGTCGAGGATCGCAGAACGGAACGCTTGAATCCATTCTATATACGTCTTCTTTAACAATAAGTCAAATAACTATACCTTTGAATCTACGGAAAATATAGACTTGTCAATAGTAGATTCGCCTTCGGTAATTTCACCTCCTACATTATATGGCGTGAAATTACGTCCCATGTTTGCAGAAATCGCAGAATGATTTACTTTTAAGCTTCACAACTATGTCGTATTGACATTTACGTAACTTTCGAACAATGTCTTCGTTATAGCTTTTCAATGTTCTTTTGCCATGCTAAGAATGATTTGTTTCAATTATGTGAAGGAAATATTCACAAAGGGATAAAGGCAAAATTAGAGGAGGTCCATAGGCGGCTCTATTCCAGGAATCACGGGCGAAAAGACGTGACCATTGCCTAAACAACTGATACGACTAAACCAAGACCGAACCTACGAACAGTGGACAGGAACGGCACTTGATCGAGAACCATAGAAGCGACCAGTTGGAACTATTTCCATACGTTTCCCTGAGGCTTACGCATATCATTTTTAACAATAAATTAATTAATTACCTGTGAATCTACGGAAAATATAGACTTGTTAATAGTAGATTCGTCTCACTAATGTCCCCTCCTACGTATGTGTCCATAATTATGAAAGTGGTCTAAATCATATATTTCTTGTTTCGAGATATTTAATGAATTGCATTTGAATAAATTAAAAANAGGGGGTGCAACATTGCTGAACAATATTGTGTTGTCACCGTCCTTATACAGAATACGTTTGTACCAAGTTTCGTCGAAATCCCTCCATTGCTCCTACGAAAAATATTTAAAAAACCGATTTTTCGCTAAACTTTGGGGAGTTGTTTCACCCCTTAAATGTGGACCATTGCAGATATAAAAAAACACGTGTCTCTTACATTTTTGTGTTCTTCGACATATATGAAACTCAATAAGATCGGAGGCGGACACTTGGGAATGTTTGTTGCAAGTTAAAGAATTTTCTCCAAAAATCCAATTTTTGAAAGTGCCAAGATAATTCCTAGGTGTTCACGAGTCATATATAAAAATTTCAGACGGTTCTATCCAATACCCTTAAAAAAAAGTATCTTATTTAAGTCGGCTGATTTGAGAGAGGTTTCACTTCATCTTAAATGGTTCTCTGAATCACATCGGATCATTACGTAGGCAATCTTAAAGAAGCCCAAGTGTCTGAAAAATTTAACCGAAAAAAAGCGCAAGTGCAAAAGGTTAATAATCAAAATTAAAAACCATGTATCACAACGTAGGAGTTGACTTCGTACATTACGCGTTTTTGCTTTAACCGCCACTGGAAGATCTTATTATATCATGCGTGAATGTATGTTCAAACATAGCCGGGTGTGTACTCTGATATGCGCTGTACGAGGAATACTATTATGGATTTGAGAGCTGTTCTGCATCACCTCGTTCTCAAACGCCGAGTGTTTGACGACGTGATGTAGACACAATTGCACCAAAGTACATTTGCATATAAGATACGTAGAGAGTGAGGCATGAAAACAGAAAAATAGATAAACAATGGCCCCTCACTTGAATGATTTCGCAATCAGCTACACATCCTCGTTCTTACTCAATATGACGTCCTTAGAAGGACTGCCAAGAAGCAAATGCATAGAATTTTAATTCTCAACTTCTCAACACTATAGATAATTCAAACAAATACACGGTAGAAAAGAAAAAAAAAATATAGTGTTCGAGCCGAATGAACAAGGGCTCAAACGAGAACGAATGCCTTTATCTCAGATAGCAATTATCATGTCACGTGTGGTTTTCAAGCCAATACGTAAATTTCAATTATTTATTGCAAATACGGACTAATCCATAATTTAATAATTATAACGCTAGAATTATTTGGAATGCTCTCTGCAACGATCTGGGTGTTCTATTTCTTCCGTATTTCAAGTTCCGTTTATTCTTTCTCGTGTCTCTCACGTCATATAGCACCATTGATTCAGTCACGTATTATGCTCATAATTTAAATGAATGTCTAAACAGAAACTCGAGCGCTTCGCTCTCTTATCTGCTACCGCGGTCCTTTAGCCCATGATTCGTTTATTTCTAGCCCTATAGCCCATTTTTGTTATTCCCCACCTAAGCCTTCTTAAACAACATTAACTTTTCCCCTTCTCAGTTCTCATTAACCAATCACTTTCGATTATCGATCCCACTTTAATTTCTCTACGCCTATCAGTAAACGCTTTGTAAAAAACTCCGCCCTAGAGGACAGCATCCGAAAGCGCTCTGGACCAAAGTTCCTCTGGGCATCTTCAGAATCAAATCTTCCACCGCGAGAGACGGACATCTCCTGCTCTCAGAGACAATCAAGTCTCACCGCGACTCCAAATAGTCACCCGCTAATTTGTACCGTGCGACCGCCGTCGTTCATAGTATCATATTTTACATTTGTTATCGGACTTACTCGTTATTGTTAATAAACTATTTCTGTTACGAATTCAAGTCATGTGCCCGAACTCATAAAACCGACCTGACTCGAGATTTCGTCGAGAATTAATCAGTCCTCAAATTTTGGTTTCACATCCAGTGCAACCCGCTTTCAGACTTTCTTTCGAACATCCGCAACATATAGAAACTGGGTCTTGAGCTCGG